CTGCGGCTCGCACCTGCGGTCCCCAATCCGCAGGTGCGGAAACAATAGAAGCAGCAAAATTCGACAACTCCAAACCAACTCCAAACCTTCCGTCAACCACCCAAATCCATCCCGAGGCACTCGGGACCTCAACCAAACACGTCAACAAGTCACATATTATCATTTAAACTTATTCCGACCTTCAAAACACTCAAACAATATTTAAACACCGAATCACCCTCGGATTCAAGCCTAAGGATTTCAAAACTTTTGAATTCCGCAAATGATGCAAAAACCTATCAAACCTCATCCGATTTACCTAAACTTTTGCACACACGTCACAAATAATGCAACGGACTTACTCCAATTTTCGAAATTTCAATCCGACCCAGATATCAAGATTTCCACTACCGACCGAAAAACGGCTAAATTTCAATTTCGCCAATTCAAGCCTAAATCTACCGTGGACCTCCAAAATATATTCCGAACACGCTCCCAAGTCCCAAATCACCTAATGAAGCTATCCGAACCATAAAAATCAAGTTCAGAGATCATGTACTAACAAGTCAACTTACGGTTGACTTTTCCAACTAAAACTTCCAAATAAGAGACTAAGTGTCTCATTCCACTCTAAGACCACTCCGAACACACCACAGCCGATGCGCCATGATGAAATATAGCTGAGCAACTCACAAGGAAGCAGAAATGGGGATAATGGGACTGTAACTCATGAAACGACCGGCCGAGTCGTTACAAATTGTTTCAGATTTTTAAATTTATAAACCAAACCAAACTTACAAAAGTCGGGTTTTTCAATCTCGATTTTTCTCGGATTTTTTTCAACAAAATCTTCATAGCATAAAATTTATAATTTATGCTCTAATATTTCTTAGGTCCTAGTAGGATAAAACTATATAAGATGTTACCCAATAAAATAATACAAAATAATATGAGATGAGTCATGATTATACTAAAATAGTTAACAAATCGCATAAAATAAATATTGCTAATTAATAAGCCATAATAAAAATAAATATAATCTAAAAGTACTAAATCATGTTAAAATAAGTATATATGACTAATAAGTACTAAGTATTAGATACATGACTAAATAATATTAAAAGTAAGTTATGTATTTTCACTATCTAAAGTAATGAAAAACTAAGAAAATAAATATCCAATACTATTGTCATTCCTAGTATTGAATTGAATTTTTTGTGTTAACATTTTTATTGATTTGATTTTGCTTTGGAATTTATTTGAGTCACTAACTTTTATGGACTATAAAACATATTTGACCATTCAAAAGTTCTAAATCAAAGCTTGAAATAATACATTAAAAGAGAGAACTATGAAAAAGATTAAAAAATATTTATAGATTACATTACAATAATTATTTTTATGTATAAAATATTTTAAAACTTGTATACATGCAATGTCGGGTTGGCTTGGTTTCTGTTTAGTTTTTTTTAGTTAAAACAAAATCAAACCAATTATGGTCGAATTTCTTTTTCTAACACCAAACCAAATTAAACCAATCATAGTCGGACTTTTTTTTTTCTCGGTTTGGCTCGAATTATTGGTTTGGTGCGATTTTTCGGTTTCCTATGTACACCCCTAGTCATAGCCATTAAAGAGTTTGTAGCTTTGAATTCGAAAATTAAAGTTTATGAAATTGGTATTTGTTTGGATTGGGTGGTATTGCAAATGATTGAGAATATTCTCTAGAGTTTATATCTCAAATTTGAGAGACTTTAGTGAGAATTCGACTTGATTTTGGTTAGACTTCCAGATTGAAAATTAAAGAAGAAGACATACATAAATTGTACATATCTTGTAAGTCGGGTATATAAACGACATATAAAATATATACAACTAATATATTGTATGCAAATTATAAATTTTTGATCGGATTTTATAGAAATTTTTTTATTCAAGTTGTAGATAAATTGTAGATTTTGAGTGGATTTGTATATAGCTTACTAAATTTTTTTAGTTATTTTCTGTAAATAGAAGAACATAGATAAACCGGGTAAATAAGTTTGAATTTTGTATATATATAAAAAAAGTCCCAAATTCAGGAATGATACATGGTTTTTGAATTCACATTATACTTCAGCAATTGAGAGTTATTGTTTCAAGTCATTCAAATTCTAGGAGCAATTCCTGGATTTTGAACTTATAAATATTCAAAATTCAATAGTTTTTCTTGGAGTTTTCTGTATTTTAGATTGGGCAATATTTGACTAAACTTGTATTTTTGCATTAATGAGTGACTTTTTGCTAAATTTTTAACCTAACTAACCCATTATTTCAGTCACTTAACTAAACTAGTACGATTTTTTTGAAATTTAACCGAAATAATATAAACATATTTCTCTGTAACGAAATAGGAAATATTTGATTCAAAAATTTTAATGGCAAAAAGATAACGTATGACGGAACAAACGGAGAACTTTCACGTTGTCGTTGGACAAGATTCACATATTAATCGTGCCTGTCAGTGAAGTTTTTATCTTGCCGCTTAAAATTTTAAAAATTATTTTGTACATACCTAATTTTTGCTCTTTCTCCTTCTCCTGCATTATATTTTTTAAAGTTTTATTGTGTGTGTTTGTAGATTTTAGAATTAGAGATTATGAATAGTTTAATAAAGGAGTAGACATTATGTTATGTTGAATTTTAAAGAAACTGACAAAAAATCGGCCCAATTCCATCTGACCCGGTCCAATAAGTGGCCTTCCAAGATTTGGTTCCAAATGAAGTAGTTTGGTGTTAAACTATGTCAAACTACATTATTTCACGTAGTGATCTCAATACTCCATCTCATCCATCCATTCTTCTTAATCTAACTATCTAGATTCATTGCCCTTATCCGTATAAAAGCTTCTTAAAATCCGAAAGCCATTTTGCAAGCCCTAGAGTCTCCCCTCATCTCTCTCTTCTCTCTTCTCCCTCTCTTAGCCGCCACCACTTCCGCCGAAGCGGCGTCACCAGCAAGCCACTACCAAACTCCATCAAACTTACACCATCTTTTTCCCCTCACTTCCTCCTTTTCATAGCCTGACCCCAAATCCTCAAAGTCCCTCTCAAAATCGATAAATCTTACAAAAATTGAAATATTAGCCTTCCCTCTTTCCTCAAATTCATAAGGATTGAGTCATCCTCTTCGCCCAACACATACATAGACGTAAAGAGATCGATAAGGGCTATCATTTGGCATTGGTTTAAACCCGATCTCTGATGACTTGAATTTCCGCGAAGCTGCCGACTAGCGGCCACCATTGATCGCTCTACATAGCCGATGCCACCCTAAGAACCACCCAAAACGTCACTGCCTCTCATTTTTGCCTCTGGCCTAGTTTAGGTTTCTATTGTTGGTAATACCAAAACCATTTTCCGATTCACCAAAATTTATTCACCAAAATTTATGGTTTTGGTGTATATCAATAATAAAAGCATGCCCGAGCTCGAACCACTACCTATCATCATTGTTTTGCCATTGCCCGGGCACTCGAGTTCATGGTAAAATCCTAATCTTCTACCCTATTCTTAATTTTTCTACTTTCTTAGATTTTAGTTTAGCATTAAGTTTTATTTTATTTTTCTATTGTGTTTAAGTTGATCCAGATTACGTCGTTGCTCAATTAGTTACTTCACTTTTAAAATGTGTTTTCACTTAATCATCGATTTGTTGTCTCTAATTGATTGCATCGATATAGGTTATTTTTGGATAATTGAATGCTGGAATTTCTGTTTTATACTGATTTGAATCAACTAGAGTAGTTTGATATTATTTTGTGAAAGGTAGAAGGTGAATTTATGATAGTATAGTACATGGTTGGTTGCTTTTAGTGTTTGGAGCATGTGTTTGGCTGCAGATTTGGTAGAAAGGACTGTTATTTCCCCCTCTCTTTGGACAAAATTTTAGTTGACTTAAACCTAATATTAAAGCCTTCTACTACTATAAGAGGGGTCATTTTTTTCATTCTTAGGAGGAGATCAGAAAAAAGAGAGCTGAAGATAAAAATTTCAGCAGCTTTTCACCTTTGAATATTTTCCAGAAAAGAGCAAAACCTTCCAAAAAATACGAAAAGTTTGAAGTTAGTTTGTTGTTTCCTTCTTCTTTAAAAGTCGTTGAGTATCGAGGTTATTCTAGGTTGTTTCATTGGTCCTTTTCACTGCTATTGTTGCTGGTTTTAAGCTGTATTTGATAGCCGTTGAGTTCAGACGAAGTGATTACTGTTTTCTTGTGTTCAAATCTGCAATCTAGGTAACTTTTCAAGCTCGGAATGTAGTTTATTGTTAAAGAAATAAAAGCATGAATCGTTACTTTATGTCTGAGTAGTTCTACAACTTTCTGCTAAACATCCTTATGTGAATAAATAAAGTGTTTATTCCATGTCTGAAGAATATTTGACTGCTTGTAGGATTAGTTTGTCATAATCTTTTTGACTCATTTTAGGCTATTCTGGAGTGGGAAGTATGTCATTTAGTTTGTAAAAAATAATTTCATAAATTTAATTCAGCCTCTAATAGTTGAATATGTTAAAATAGTGTAAAAAATTCTTTTTTTGTCAAGACGTGTGTGGCGAGGGATTTCTGTTAGAGTTTTCGTTGTTTAATAGTAGGCATTTTTGTTCAATTGAAGGTCCAACATCAATCTTTCACTATTATTTCTTTAATTCATTTTGTTATTTTTATCTCTATCATTGATGCCTTATGTCTCGGGTTCACTTGACTTTCATCAAGTTTGTGAGTTATAATGAGAAATTAGTTTGAGTTAGAAAGTGAGTTGTGGGAGAGGTTTGACTATTAAAAAAATACAGAGTCGTGGGAATCAATGGGGATTTGAAATAAGCATGACCTTGATAATGGATTTTGCAAGAAATGGGTTTAAAAGTGAATGTTGTACACTAACTATAATCGGACTTTGGTTTGGTACAGAATATTTTGAGTTGTGTTGTTGTAGTTTTTTTTTTGTTAAAATTCATTGTTAATTGATGTGGAGTTAATGAACTATTGCCCAGGATTTTTAATAAAAGCAGAAATATGTATTTTATGAGTTGAAGGTAAAAAGTTGTCTAATCAAGTCCCAAACGTTTTACCAAAAGCTCTCTTCTCTCTCTTAACTTAATGTTATCCAAAGTCCCTACCCCTACACACTCACCTGCCCTACCAAATCCAAACAATGAGAAATCCACAGCACACCTACACAATCCTATTAGCATCACTCCACCACCTACAAACATACCTATAACGACTAAAAACTCCGAACAACACCACAACCGACAGAGAGGAAGCAGATGTCGATGAATCAATTGAAAACCTCACCAACAAAACAGTACCTAAAGCAGCTAACCCAACCACTGTTCCTCAACAACCTAAAATTTCATCAAATTTTGATAAACCAACAAGCCGGAATGACAAACACACTGAAAACACCATAGACACACATCAGCAACCCCATGCAATCCAAAAAACCCAATCAAACTCTACCGCAATAGCCCAAAATTCAACACAAAAAAACATGCAGACTTCGAGATTTCCTCCGGGGAATAACAGAGCTCCTGAACCATCAACCAGCAAGAGCATTGATCAGATGGTATCAAAACCATCATTTGCAGCGACAGCGCAGACAAAATTACAAACTCTAACTAATGGTGAAACTGCAGTAGAAATTAGACATGGATCTCACCTAGGGAAGCCAACTGTTTTCTTTCTGTCGAAGATTATTTCATAAATCTAGCTCAGGAATGCAAACTTACTATTATTGGTAAGTCCTTGAGAGGGAAGACTTCGATGGAGGAGATTAGGAAAATCTTTGTGAGGAAGTTTCATATGACTAGTATTATTAAAATTGCATATTTTGACCCCCGACATGTTTACATTCATATCTCTAATAAAGTAGATTACAACCACATCCGATTCAAAGAATACATAGATATTAGGGATGCACCAATGAAAATCCTGAAGTGGAGTGAATTTTAAACCAGAAGAGGAAACAACCATTGTACCGGTTTGGATTTTAGTTCATCAATTACCTTGCCATTTGTTCAACTGGAGAATTATCTCGAGGATGGTAAGGGAGATTGGTGTTGCGGTCTCTCCTAAACTGGAAACATATTCAAAATCCAGAGAAAATATGGCCAAAGTAAAGGTGAAAATTGATTTGCTAAAAGCAAGACTTGACCAAATATGGTTGGTATACAAAAGAATGGATGGAACTGATGATGGCAAATGGCTAGATATTGAATACGAAAAAGTTCCAAGTTACTGTATGTATTGTAGAATGTAGGACATCTTGAAATTCAGTGTAGAAACAAAATCAGGGATGAAAGAATCAAGGCACAAAGGGAGGAACAAAAAAAGAAGAAAAAAGTACCAAACAAAGTTGATGAAGATTTCCAAACTGTGAATAGAAGAAATGGATCAAAAATAAAGTCTGGGCCAACCACCAAGCTCCAAAACAAAGAAGACTAGCCGAGTACAATTCTTTATAATTCAACATAGAAGAATAAAGAAATAACAAAATATTAACAAGCCAATAATTGCAATCAAGGTGTTGAATCTCAAGAGGCAACAACAACACAAAAGGGGAAAAGAAATAGTGGTATTTGTATCATTGAACCTAAAGATACTCAACATTTCCCAACAATGAAGGAGGTTCCAGGAAAAGAGAAAGGGAAACTAAAAGATGATGGAAACAACAATACTTGCAGTGTAACAAAGGAGGGTCAAGGCGAAGGCAACAAAGATCACACGACAAACTACACCAAGGAAAATAACAAGCAGAAAAAGACGAACAGAAAGAAGAAAAAGAGGAAAAACAAAACTGCAGAGGAAACCTTGATCCAGGAAGAGGGTAATAATCAACCAATTGCCACAAGCCAAGAGAAGAAAGAAAGTATTGACAATATAGATATCTCAAAGCAGGGAGAGAATGGGCAAACAATGCAACATGGGGCACAACCAAATGTATCCTACCAGCAAAGGGATATTAATCAAGCCAACATGAATATGCAGACTAGTGAGACCACTATTGGAGTTGATGATGGAGAAGTCCAAAACAACTATCTTAAACTCATTAGTGGCACAAGTTTGGAAGAGGAACAGAATAATGGTTTTGAATATAATATGGAGAATGGGCAACAATCAGATTCATCGTATGAAGAAGATGAATGCTCAGAGGAAGTGGATTATTCAGATAAAATAAGTTCATAAGCAAGTGATGAATATGCAAGTATGGATAGTGATGGAAAAGTAAGTGAAGACTCTACAGATCGAGTAGAGGAACCCAATGGTGCAACAACTGATGTTCAAGCAAACATATTGGTGGAGACTTTTTGTTCATAATCACTTGTGGATATTAATGTGACTTCAGAGTTTTGACAATGCCATCAGAGGTAGGGGCAGGGGCAGAGGTAGAGGAAATAACAGAGGAGGTAGACAAGCAACAAGAGGAAGGGGTGGTAAGCACCTTAATCAATAGTCTATGGGATCTTCACAAGCAAATCACTTTTCAAATGTATCCAATGATTAAGTCTCTCATTTGGAATATTATAGGCATTAACTCTAATGTTGCCCTGGAGAGATTAAATCAATTAGTCAGATCACAAAATATTCCCTTTGTAGTTATATGTGAGCCATTTCATAAAGCTGATAAATTGGATAAATTCAGGCGAATTCTAGGTTTTCAAAATGCTCATTAAAATAGCAATAGTCAAATATGGATCTTTTGGAATGATTCAGTGGTGTGTAATGTGGTAGAGAAGAATGAACAACAAGTAACATGTTCTATCAGTTGGGATGGGGTTGTAGTGTTGATTTCCTCTATATATGCTAAGTGATACAAATCAGAGGAAAAAACTTTGGGATAACTTGAAGGACATTGCAGAAAAATACAACAATCCTTGGTTAATTATTGGACACTTCAATTGTATTTTGATCCTTGTGAGAAGATAGGTGGTCGACCACGTAGTATAACCAAGAGCCTACCTTTCCTTGAATGTATTATGGATTGTGAACTATTGGACCCGGGTTTCTCGGGCTCAAATTTCACATGGTGTAATGGATGGTTCCCTGCGAAGAGGATATAGAAAAGATTAGATAGAGTTTTAGTAAACCACGACTGGATAAACTTGTTTGACTCTACAAGTGTAAATCACTTGATTAGGTTAGGATCTGACCATTCCCCACTCTTTACTATTGCAAAAGCAACAGAAAGGGAACTTGTAAAGTACTTTAGGTTTCTAGATTTCTGGACTAAAGAAAAAAACTTCAATGCAGTGGTGGAGAAAGTTTGGGGTATTGAGGTACAGGGATCACCAATGTGGAGATTTTATTTAAAATTGAAGAATACTTGCAAGAAGTTATCTGAATGGTCTAAAAGTTCTATTGGCAATATTTTTTATAAGATTAAAGAGTTGGAAGACAGAGTAGCTAACTTAGAAGCCAACTTAATTGCTGATAATAATGAAGTAAACAGAACTGCTTTAAATGAAGTTAATGCATTACTGATTAGAGCCTATAAGAAGGAGGAATCATTTTGGAAACATAAATCTGGAGTGAAATGGTTTGTGGAAGGGGAAGTAAACTTAAAGTTCTTTCATTATGTGGTTAAGGGTAGAAAGAAGAGGCTTACTTTGAAGAAAATGAGGAAAGAAGATGGAAGATGGGTTGATGGGAAGGAGGATGTTGCTAGAGAAGCAATCTCCTTCTTTCAGAGACAATTCAAAAAGGAAAGTTGTCACAATGACTTTACGATTTTGAGTTGTATCCCTAAAACCATTGAGGAAGCAGATAATGATAGATTAACAACATTACCTACGTTGGAGGAATTGAAAGATGTGGTTTTTTCTATGATTTCACATAGTGATCTAGGTTCTGATGGAGTCTCAGGGAAATTCTACCACTCATGCTGGGAAATTATAAAGGAGGACCTATTACTAATTATTCTTGATTTTTTTTGCAGGTATTGATATACCAAAGGCACTCAACAAAACCTATAATTTATGGCCCTCAAAAGATTAGGTCAAAACATTACTTGAAGAATTAGACTTGAGGCGTGCCATAAGCAAATTAAATCTTCTATGGCCCTCGCAAATGTTAATTTAGATGCTAAAATAAATCTCGTAGTTTTCTTTAGGTGCATTGATTATACAATTATCATGCTAAACCCGGGGGTATATTTCATGTGGTCTGGTTCTAATTTCCAACAAGGTTAAATAGAACATTTCGTGAATCACCGGTGCATTTCATGTAGCGTGGCTTGCGATATGTTTTAAATAACCTTGGAATAATTCCTTAAATAAATAAAAGCGATTTTAAAGTTACAAATGCACATAGGTTTAAAAGTGTTTTAAAATCTGATAATTGAGCCAAAAATAATAGTTGAGCGACCGTGCTAGAACCACGGAACCCGAAAATGCCTAACACCTTCTCTCGGGTTAACAAAATTCCTTACCCGGATTTCTGTGTTCACGGATTGTAAAACAGAGTCCATCTTTCCTCGATTCGGGATTTGAAACCGGTAACTTGGGACACCATAAATTATCTCAAGTGGCGACTCTGAATTTAATAAATAATCTCATTTTGATTGTCACTTAAATTGGACAAACTCCCTTATACCCTCCCGAGGTGTAGTGAAAAGAAGGTGTGACAGCTCTGTCGACTCTGTTGGGGACAAGAACCTAGAATCTCTGGTTCAGGGTTCAAGAATTCAAGCTTAGAATAATTATTATATTTGGCTTTATTTATTATCTGGTTTTATTAACATGTTTGAGCTTAATGTGCTAAATGTTGCTTTTTACTGCTTTAATATTGTTGAACCAGGGGCGGATCCAGGATTTGAGACTTATGGGTTCCTACCGTAATTTTAAATTAATATGCAATAATAACTGGGTTTACATTTAGATATTTACAAATATTTAGTAAATTTTTAATATAAATACATGGTTTACGCAAGAGTTACTGGGTTCCCAGGAACCCGTATTCCATTCTCTACATCCGCCCCTATGTTGAACTGTATATAAATTGTTACGAAACCCTCCTCTCTCTGAGTCTTCTAAATCATCTGGGAAGTGTGCACTTCGTCTGACTTCTTTTATATTAGAGTCATATCCCAATTTAGAATGAGGTTAGGACAAGTTGCAAAGCCGGTGAAGCTTCTATATTCCCGATACGCTGCCCCCCTCGGCTCGAGCTGTCTGCTCGGGTAAGCCAGGTCTAGAACAAATAAACCCAGGTTTTCAAACCTAGTATAACATAGCCTCATGCCGGATCCCTAGTAGGAATGCTTGTTTGCATCACATGCATTTGACTTTGGCGACTCAACACAGGGGTTGAGTCCGTCTAAGACAGGTGCACCTGAAATCAAAAGACCATCCTGATGCATTTTGCTTGCTACTTGCGCATTTATTTGATTCGGATTGCATGTTGACCGACTTCTAGAATAAGGGAGAAATTGAGAAAAAACAAATTAAGGTGAGAGAGAGGAAATTAGTCGCTTGTGAAAAAACTTGGTGTCCAAAATACTCCAAAACTCTGCCAAAATTTTCAGAAAAAAAGGAAAAAAAGTTATTTCAAAAGTTTCTGTTTTCTGTTGCATCAAAATTAACCTAACTATGCAAGTTTGATTCTCACCGAACATGGGATACATAGGCAACCCTCATCGGGTCCAACTCCTTTTGCAAAAATAACCCAAAAAATATGAAGTGTCGCTGTTTTGTCATAAATAAATTAGGTGGCGCCATTCTTGTCCAAAATAGCCAAAAATGCCCCAAAAGGCGCCGAAAGACTGTTTTTGCAAGAATAGCCACCTAAGGTCCTTTTTCAAAAATATTTGGTTGATTAACAAAAACAGCCCTAAAAAATTCTTTTCTCTTGAAGTGCTGAAGGGTTGTATTCGCAAGAATGTTTTGTTCTAAATTTTGTGAAAATGAGTGTTCTTCTCTTGAGTAAAAGTAAATCACAGTCTTTCAATCAATCATCTTAAACAAATGTGCAGGATGAGCACAATTGAAAATGAATCTTTCATAG